GAAGACCGGAACGGCGCGGGAACACGGCGAGAGGAACGCGCGGAGCAAAGGTAAGTGAATTGACACAGGGGGGACTTGGCTTACTACTTGCTACTTACTTACTATGAGGGATACTATATGGGGGATGAATTTACTATGGGGGGGATGAATTACTATGGGGGATGAATTACTATATGGGGGATGAATTACTATGGGGGATGAATTACTATAGGGGGGATGAATTACTATGGGGGATGAATACTATATATGGGGGATGAATTACTATATGGGGGATGAATTATTGGGGGATGAATTACTATATGAATTAATACTATATGGGGGATGAATTACTATATGGGGGAATGAATTACTATGGGGGAATTATGAATTACTATAGGGGGGATGAATTACTATATGGGGGATGAATTACTATGGGGGATGAATTACTATAGGGGGGATTAATTACTATAGGGGGATGAATTACTATATGGGGGATGAATTACTATGGGGGATGAATTACTATATGGGGATGAATTACTATATGGGGGATGAATTACTATATGGGGGATTAATTACTATATGGGGGATGAATTACTATGGGGGATGAATTACTATATGGGGATGATGAATTACTATATGGGGGATGAATTACTATGGGGGATGAATTACTATAAAAACTTATTGAAACTAAAAACAGTGTACCATCCTATGTATTTTCAGTTTTAAAAATGTGGCTCTCAAAATAAATTTCAATCGTGGTTTTGGCGAGATTTGGCTCAGTTGAAAAAAAAGGTTGCCCACCACTGCCCTAACTCTTTTGGACTCTTACTGCTCTTGACTGTAGATAAATAAATGTACAACCTCAGTGCTGACTGGTGTTGACTGACTCCTCTGAAGGAAGATATACAAGATACAGCCGCCTTTAAATCATATGGCTGGCTTATATGCAGCTAACTTCCATGGCTGGAGGTATTTTATTTTCCTTGGGTGGTGGTGGAGTTCAGCCTTGGGGACCCAGAGGACAAAGAAAAATTAGGTAGTGTGTTGAAAGGCTTAAAATGTGAGTGCATATTGCATAGAGCACAGGCATCATGAGTGTGTAATGCACAGAGTGCAGGGGGCAGGAGTGCATATTGGATAGAGTGCAGGGACAAGACTGTAACGCACAGAAAGTAGGAGTCTGGAGTGCAAAATGCACAGAATACAGGAATCAGGAGTGAAAACCACACAGTGCAGGCATCAGGAGTGTGTAAGACACAGAAAGCAGGAGTCCACAACTGACAGAGCACAAGGATGAGGAGTACATAAGACATTAAGAGCAGGGCTCAGGAGTTGGTATCACACAGAGCAGGGGACAAGAGTGCAGAATGCATAGAGGGGAGGGGCATGGAGTGTGTAATGAGCAGAGAGCGCAGATTAGCAGTTTGTAACACACAGAGTACAGGGATCGGGTGTGCATAGCACACAGAGTACAGGTGTCAGGAGATAGCAACATACAGAGTGCAGGGACCAGGAGTAAGTAATGCACAGAGCATGCAGGGGTCAGGAGTGCATAAGACACAGAGAACAGGGGTCAGGAGTGCATAGCATACAGAGCATATGGGTCAGGAGTGCATAACATACAGAGTATTGGACTCAGGGGTGCGTAATACAGAGAGTGCAGGGGTTAGCAGTGTGCAACACAGGTCACAGGGGTCAGGAAACTGTAATGCAGTCAGTAGATAGAGTACAAAAAAAATTACCACTCTCCTCATGTTAGCACTCCTTCTAGAACAGATCCCCCTCCCACTATTACCCACAAAGCACTTCCTGCCCTTTATTTCAGGCCCCGCTCCCTAGTACAGCTTCTTTTAACTACCCCCCTCCCCCGTGCAGCTTTGCCCCCCCCCCATACAGCTCTTTCTCCTCAGTAAAACTACTCCTCTGACTACAGCTGTGCCCCCACAATACAGTTACTTAATAACTCATCTCCTTCATAGCCACTGTGGCTTTTAGTGCAGTTTCTGGTTTTGAGAGCTTGCCGGCTTGTTTTGAGAGTGGGAATTGCAAGTGCACTCCCTACCTCTTCTATATAGATTGTAGGGAGGTGGAGTATAAATGTAGTATCAATGTGGTCCAACAAGGTATCATCCAAACATATATACACACATACTGTATATAAATACTTGAAAACAAACCAATCAAAATAGTGGGATTTTGAGTATATTCCCGGTGACTACACTAAAGTACTATACATATATATCTATCTATCTATCTATCTATCTATCTATCTATCTATCTATCTATCTATCTATCTATCTATCTATCTATCTCTATATATAGATTTATATATTACTTTAGTGCGATATATATATATAGTATAAATTTTTATTCATAATGAGTTAAAAACTAGTGTAACACAATGGACAATAATAAAAGTACTGTTACATAAAGATTAATCGCAATTGTAATGTAAATCCTACGCATTTTAGTGGATTCCCTGCTTCCTCAGGACCAACATGGATGTTTTGTACTAAGCCACATATATAAGTGATAATAATAAAAGCTTCTACAAATAAAGAAAACAACAATAATTAATTATATAAACATACAATATCCAAAATACATATCAAAATATATATATTAGAAAATTAAATCATGTATACACAACCAATCAACCTAGCAAAAGGAACAAAAGAGCCATAAGTTGCCTACATTCCATCCCCATGAAAATGGGGTGCACACCATGCTGCCATAATCCTGATGGGAGAGTTTCACTAAACTTATAAATAAATGGCCAAATACATGTTTACCAAGTGTCCACATTTATTTATTACGTCGAAAAGTAATATGTGGTTTCTCGTCTACAAATTTTTTAATCACAGAATCTTCAGTTAGTATATGCCAATGTCTATCCAACTGCACTTTGGTAATGTCTGCAACTACAAGCATCATCCTGGTATACTTTTTTTAGCTGGCGGTCAACTTAAATGTAAAAGCAATGCCAGCCACGAATTAGCTGCGGGATTCCTTTTACAAGTAGCGTGAAGGGACTCACGCACCTTGCATGGCTTTCCCGGGCTCTCCCGTCCTACAGGGAAATCTGAGAATGCATCCGGCCATTCCACCAGCTGACCATAGAGCTGATCAGAGACCAGAATGACTCCAATCATCTCTATAGTCCAAGAATCCGGAAGCTACTAGCATTTCATTATTTACTTTTCGCCAGATTCAAACAGTGCCATTTTTAAATTGGGAAAGAACCTGATCACACTGATCTTGTGATCAGATGCTTTAAGGGCAGAAGAAAAATCTAGGAGTTTAATAGATCCGAGATTTCTCAGAAAAGAGTACCTGTCGCTGCCTGTTGCTATCATAGGGGATAGTTACATTCCCTTTGATAATAAAAGTGACTCAAAAAAAAAAAGAGAAAGGGACAGTGTAAAAAAAAAAACAGTTTGCGCCATGCATGTGAGGTATCACAACAAACGTCAGATCGAGGGCAGTAATTCTAGCACTAGATATCTTGTGTAAATATAAAAGTGTTGACCTGTAAATTTTAAAGCATCGCCTATGGATATGAAAAATGTACCTAGTTTGTCACTGTTGCGCAGTCATGCGCAATTTTACAGCATATCTATATGGTATCTATTTACTCGGCATAACATAATTTTTTACATTTCATACAATTGGGCAGTGTATTGTGTTTTTGTGCATTAAAATTCCAAAAAGTGTATTTTTTCAAAACATTTGCGTTTGAAAAATTGCTGCAAAAATACTGTCTGACATGAAAAAAAATTTACACCCACCATTTATTCTTTAGGGCCTCTGCTTGATCTTCAAGTGGTTAGAAGAGTGGGTGATGTGTGGCATAAGCTTCTAATGTCTGAAAATACTCACCATGCCTCTTATCAAATTCCTTGGGGTGTCTACTTTCCAAAAAGGGGTAATTTGAGGGGGGGTGTTTGTACTATCCTAGCATTTTAGAACCTCTGACATGAGGAAATATGGCCTTTGAAAGCCTGAAGGTGATTTGAATTTGGGGGCCTCTCTGTGGCTAGGCTGCCAAAAAGTCTCTCACATGTGGTATCCCCATACTCGGGAGAAGTAGCAGAATGTGTTGTGGGGGGGTGTTATTCCACATATACTCATGGCATGCATGAGCAATATATCATTTAAGTGACAACTTTGTGTAAAAAAAAATTGTCATTTTCCAAACATTTGTGGCAATAAAATAAAACCTCCATGGACTCAACATGCCTCTCAGCAAATTCCTTGGGGTGTCTACTTTCCAAAAAAGGGGACATTTGGGGGGAGGGGGTGGACTGACCTGGCATTTTAGCACCTCAAGCAATGTGATAGGCAGTCAGAAAGTAAAAGTAAATTCCAATATACATTATACACAGAGTATAACTGGATACTAACATTTATAGATAAAGTTGATCCAGGGAATATCCGATTGCCTCTCGGGGGATCAGGAAGGAATTTTTTTCCCAGCAGGTGCAAATTGGATCATGCTTTGCTTGTTTTTTTTTTTGCCTTCCTCTAGATCAACTGTGGGTATAGGATTATAACTTTTTTTTTTTCTATGGTTGAACTGGATGGACTTTTGTCTTTTTTCAGCCAGACTAACTATGTAACTATGTAAAATTATATTGCTGAATGTATTGCGACAACTGCCTTTACACACACATGAACTTTAATGGTATCCCAGTCTTAGACCGTAGGATTTAATATTGAGTTGGCCCACCCTTTGCAGGTATAACAGCTTAGGCTCTTCTAGGAAGGCTTTCCACAAGGTTTAGGAGTGTGTCTATGGGAATGTTTGACTATTCTTCCAGAAGCGCATTTGTTAGGTCAGGCACTGATGTCTGACGAGAAGGCCTGGCTTGCAGTCTTCGCTCTAATTCTTCCCAAAGGCATTCTATCAGGTTGAGGTAAGGACTCTGTGCAGGCCAGTCAAGTTCCTCCACCCCAAACTCACTCATCCATGACTTTATGGAGCTTGCTTTGTGCACTGGTGCGCAGTCATATTGGAACAGGAAGGGGCCATCCCTAAATTGTTTCCACTAAGATGGGAGCATGAAATTGTCCAAAATGTCTTCGTATGCTGACTCCTTAAGAGTTCCCTTCACTGGAACTAAGGAACCAAGCCCAACCCCTGAAGAACAAATCCGCACCATAATCCCCCCTCCACCAAACTTTTCACTTGGCACAATGCAGTCAGGCAAGTACCGTTCTCCTGGCAACCGCCAAACCCAGACACGTCCATCGGATTGCCAGACAGAGAAGTGTGATTTGTCAGTCAGAGAACACGTCTCCACTGCTCTAGAGTCAAGTGGCAGTGTGCTTTACACCACTGCATCCAACGCTTTGCATTGCACATGGTGATGTAAGGCTTAGATGCAGCTGCTCGCTTTCTATGCACTGTCGTGCTAATCTGAAGGCCACACGAAGTTTGGAGGTCTTTAGCTATTGACTCTGCAGATAGTTGGCGACTTCTGCACATGCACTGACCCCACTTTTACATTTTATGTGGCCTACCTCTTCTTGGCTGAGTTACTGTTGTTCCCAGTTGCTTCCACTTTGTTATGATACCACTAACAGTTGACTGTGGAATATTTAGTAGCAAGGAAATTTCATGGATGGACTTGCATAGGTGGCAACCTATCAAGGTACCACGCTTGAATTCACTGAGCTCCTGAGAGCGAATCATTCTTTCACAAATGTTTGTAAAAGCAGTCTGCATGCTTAGGTGCTTGATTTTATACATCTGTGGCCATGGAGGTGATTGGAACACCTGAATCCAATGACATTATATATACATTTTTTTTTGGGGGTGGGGTGTGATATCACTATATAGGAAGATTGGATTCATAGGAAGAAGTTGATGGATGTATGATGTCTGATCTTTGGTCATATAGAGACAGTATTGAACTTATTATTTTGAGAGCGCTGGTAACTTATATCATTACCTTTTCTTTCTGTGAGGGGAACAGAATGACTCCAACTGCTAAGGGAAGGATCATTTTTTACTATATTATTATTATTATTATACAGAATTTATGTAGCTCTAACAGTTTGTACAGTGCTTTATAAAATTAAGGTAGACATTACAGTTACAATACAATTTGATACAAGAGGAAACAGAGGGCCCTGCTCGTTAGAGTTTACAATCTAAGAGGAATATTTTGTTTGTGTAAAGAAAAAAAGGGGGGTTCCAGCACACTTTTTAAAAATATTTATAAGCTGTGAGTCTACCTAAAACTGATAACTAAATATTACTGTATATGGGTTCACATTCTGGCTTTTTATATATTTTAGGGGCAATCTATGCATTTCTACTTGAATAGCAGAATTTTAATTTTGTAAAAAAATGACAAACAATTGAGTACTGACGTGATACTTTTTTTTATTTGCACTAACATACAATTTTGAGGACAAGCTTTCGGGGTATGTCCCCTTCTTCAAGGTCCAGGCAGTACTATTTCACAAAGCTTTAGCAGAATGTTAAAAGTGATATTGGAAGAAAAAAAAGAGAAAGAAAAGAAAAAAAAAACAAGAAAGAAAACACACACAAACAAATGTACATAGAAATGGTTATAAAACTAGGATTAGACTACAGATAAGACACAGCAAAAGCAAAGACTGGGGGGGGGGGGGGCAACACTCACAGAGGGGGTCGTGAAACTGTTGGATAATGAGTGAGGAATCCCATGTCCAAATTAAGGCCCTTATCTCTTGTATCAAATAGAATTATCATTCTTAGTTCAAAAGTTTTCCTTTCCTGAATAGTTTTGAAATTTCCTTTAAGAACTAAAATATTGAGGTCTTCCGTAGTGTGATACGGTTGTGTGACACGGTGTCCCACAGGTGTGCAGAAGTCATCATCTTTATGTTCCTTGATGGTATGTCTGTGCAAATTCATCCTTGTTTGCAACTTCTGTCCTGTTTCGCCAACATAAGATCCTTTGCTACAATCACCTCAAGTAAAAAAATGAAAAATGACACCTTCCTCATGTCAGGTGAATAGGCAGTCCTGAGTCTCCTAGGAAAATATGAAGCCAGTATTATATTTAGCAAACTGATATCTACACAAAACTAGTTTTAGCGTAGTTTTAATAGATTATAGCATCTTCCGTTGGTTTTTTAATTTTTTTACTTTTTTTTTATTTCTCCTTAAGCACTGACCAGCTGGGCATGTTTGGAAAAAAAGAGTTTGATCTGTTGGCACCATATGTGGACAGCTTCAGTCTAATGACCTATGACTACTCCAATCCAAGCAGGTAAGGTCCAATGCCATTTTATTAGCATCATGGGCCCCTGGGCAAAGTAATGTACTGGGGCCCCGACTAAGGAGACGGTTTTCTGCATCATGCATAGCGTGCCACTGCAAAATGTGGGTGTGGCTGAATAATGCTATGTATTGGGCATGGCTTTTTAGTCTGATTAGAAACTACAAATAAACACAACTAGGGAATTATCCCAAATTAATTTCAACCACTGTACACACTGTCCCACCCTCTCTACACACTGCACCAGTGTATACACTGACCCTCTTTTCTCCTGTACACACTGCTCCCACTCCCAGTTACAACTATCCTGAGCCTGTACACACTCGGGACCCCATCATAAACTTCTCTCCACAGCCCATATCAGGGGATTGTATATTATAGATGTCTGTACACAGTACAGTGCAGGCTGGAAATACAGTTTCAAAGGGGGCACTTGGGCACAGTTTTACAAGGGATAAGAGGGCAAGTAGAGCAGAGCAGGAGGACACTACAGTGACAGGCATGAGGGCACAGTGCGAATGCACGGACAGGAAATGCACAGTACAAGGCAGGTAGTAAGGTCACAGTACAGGGCAGGGCAAGGGGGCACAGTACCGGGGGGGGGGGGGGTGCTGGAGGGAACAGTACAGGAGGCATTAGGGCACAGTGCAGGAGTCACATGCTGACAGTGCTCTAGGTTTCAGAGCGCTTTCTCCCATCCCTGCAACTGTATACATGCAACACAGGCACCAAAAATGTATTTTGGTCCCATCACAGCACACACAGGAGCTGGAATCTGATTCCCTTACACATAGTCACTGTATTGTGCCACTCAGCCAGGCTTTCTACAGATTGACGCAATGGGGAGCTCCTCTTCTTCTGCCGCTACAACAATACATTTCCTGAGGTCTCATCTTATCCCATCGGGACCCCAGATTTCTCCATAAAGAGGTCCTGTATTTCCCCATGCTATCATCAAGGGATGTTCTTTATTTCTGTGATAGCAATAAAGTTGCTGAAATTTTTTTTCAAAGGGACAGTGTAAAAAAAAGGTTTTAAATAAATAATGATTAAAAATGTATAGCGCTATTGTCCCCCCGTGCTCATGGCAAATGCGAATGCATACATGGTTCTTTTTATATGTAAATGGTGATCACACCACACATCTTGAAGTATGGTCACGAATGTCAGAGCAGAAGTAATAATTCTAGCACCAGACTCTTGTGCCCTGTAATGTGCCTATGACGATTTTTAGGTACTGTGCCTTTAGAGCTCATACACCCCCAAAACATCAATGAGCCATCTCCATGTTTCATGGTGTTGATGGTATCCTTGTAACTCCATACATAGCAATTATGGTTGTGACCATAAAGCTGTATTTTGGTCTCATCACTCTAAATTACAGTGTGCCAGAAGCGTGAGGAATGTCAAGGTATTGTGCATATTGCAGCCAGGCTTTTTTGTGGCATTGACGCAATAAAGGCTTCTTCTTCTTCTGGCAACTCAACAATGCAGCAAATTTTTGTTCAGGTCTCATTGTGTTGTGCTCCTTGAAGCAACCATACCGTCTTTTTCCAGAGCAGCCTGCATTTCTCTGATCCGAGTTTATCTTTGGGTTATTTTTTGTATCCTGAACAATCCTTTGGCAGTTGTGGCTGCAGTCTTTCTTCTACCTGACCTTGGTTTGGTATCAAGAGATCCCCAAATGTACCATTTCTTAATAAGTTATTGAAAAGAGCTGACTGGCATATTCAAGGCTTTGGATATCTTTTTATATTATTTTCAATCTTTATAAAGTTCCATTACCTTGTTACACAGGTATTTTGACAGTTCTTTTCTGTCCCCCATGGCTCAGTATCTAGTCTACTCAGTGCATCCATATGAGAGCTAACAAACTCATAGACTGTTTATAAATAGACACTAATTGTAATTTAAAAAGCCATAGTTATGGGAAATTAACCTTTAGTTGCCATTTTAACCTGTGAGTGTTTTGTGTGTTTGTATCAAGGCAAGCCATTCCAGGGTATATAAATGTTTGATCATGGCCATTTGAGTGATTTCTGTTATTATTATGATTTAAAAAGGAGCTAAACAACTATGTGATATTACATGGCTTCACTATCACTATCCTTAAATAAAGGACACATTTTAGGCTTGATCAGTCATATTTTGAATATCAATGCCAAAAATGCATGTTTTCTGCTAGAGTTTGCAAACTTTTGAGCACAACTGTAATCTTTTATATTTTACCAAACACATGGGCATTATATTGTGTTTGTGTTCACTAAAATTTGTTAAAGTGTATGTCCTCCAAAATACCAAAAGTCTGCCAAGCAAAATAGGTGAGTTGGAAGCTTTGTTGCATAAAGATAAGATTTAATTGGTGTTGCTGAATCTTGGCTTCATTCTTCACATGACTGGGCTGTTAATATTCCTGACTATTCTCTCTTTGGGAGAGACAGAGTACAAAGAAAAGGTGGTAGTTTCTGTCTTTATGTGAGAAGTGATCTCAAAGTGTGTGTGAAAGAGGACCTAGTTGATGGAGAGTGTGATGAGGCTGAAGCATTATGGGTGGAACTGCACATGGGTACTACAAAGATAATCATTGGAGTTTGTTATAGCCCACCCAGTGTTAATGAGGAGGTGGAGACTTCGCTTCTTGCACAGATAGAAAGGGCTGCAAGGGCTGGCACAATGATAATAATGGGAGATTTTAACTACCTGGAATTTGACTGGAGTAATGGCACTGCAGGAACAATTAAAGGGCAAAAATGTATAGACCTATTATGAGCAGGGCCGGTGCTAGACTATTTTACGCCATAGGCAAGACCAGCTACTTGCGCCCCCCCCCCCCACAAAAAAAAATTAAATTTTTTAAAACAGTAGAAAATATTAAAACAACAAATATGAAACTGCAAAATGTATTTTAATTTGCAAAAAATAAATGTCATAAGATGCCACAAGCACCAATATTAAAGACAAAATATATATTACCAAATATAAATTAACTGTATTACCCAATCAGACAGAGAAACAAGCAAAATAAGAGACATAAATGGTGTCACTGTCAGTTGTCAGTATTCCGTGTAATCAAACCCTGTAATCACACTATTAGCCAATATACAGGCAGGCACTCTAATTCAGCTGTCAGTGTGGGACTGAGTTATTGTATGTCTTCTGGTAAAGTCTGCATGCCTCCCTCCCAGGCTCTGTTAATCAGTGTCACGAACGGACTGTATCTGTGGCTGGCAGTGGCAGGGTCACAGCTGCAGTGAGTGGAGGATGATGGATACCAGGCTGGAATTCCCCAGGCAATGGGGGGAGATAAAACGCTATGAGAGCAGGCAGCTCAGCCCACACACACAGAAAGGGCACCTGATCTGAGCGATCCCACACAGTGACAGACCCGATACAACACACCACCAGCACTGACACAGGTCAG